AAACGTTTGGGAATGTTCCACGTCCACGGTTCAACTTTGGAAATTATCATGCAGACAATGGACCCCGGACGAGGTGCGTCCCAATAAGTCTTCCTACTAATATGACCATGTTGCGAAAACAAGGTCGAACAACCTCTATCTAGCATTTATTGTTTGTTTCAGAAATTATCATATCGAGAACAAAGATGCAGCCAAATCAAAACAAACCTCTTCCCCCAAATTCTCACAAACATACCGCTTGGCATGAAGTTCAAGCACAATCGAATATTCACAATTTCTCATCCCATCTACACTAGGTACAACTCACTCTTGACCATAACTGCACACCCATCGCCATCTTCCTGCGGTCCAGATTTGAAGAAGACCGAACCGGACCTCCGACCCGTCCACAAGTCGAATGTTCTTGGGAAGCCTAAATCCCGTCGTCGTAGAAACTTTAGCCAGTAAAGTTGGCTCTTTCGTCGAAAGGATGTCTGAAACCGGAGCCGGGGACAAATGGTTTGAATGATCGGCTTCTTCCTGTCGAGTGAAGATGATCTTCTTATCTACAAAAAGGAAGAGAGTTAGACAATAAAGCTAAAACATCGTGGTAACAAGCTATCATAAGCATGCAATTATTGAATTTGGGCATAGCCTCTGGATGGGATCGAGGCTTCCTGATATAGACTAACAGTACTGTCGTGCTGTGTGCAAGTGGCTAGTCGCAGACACCAGGAGCCCGAATGTTGTCATTCATTACAAAGTTAGTGTGGTATCATAAGAAATGAATCAAAGACTTTATTGTTCATGCCAATGCATGCCAATCGACTATTATCCTCCAGACTCGACTGTAGGCCCATGAGAGAGATTCGAACCACGTATATGTAGTCTAAGAGGCTAAAATGAAGCTGTTTTTTTGTTCTAAAGATATGTGTGATGTAACTCAACGAGACTAGATTCCTGTGGCCTTAGAACGATAAACCGATCAAAACTGGTGCAAAACTTCACCAGCCGTAGGTCTTGGTTGTTTTGCGTATTCTAAATGAAGCACAAGAGAAGGAATTTATAGCCTTAGGAGCAAATCCCCGAAATATACACCAAGAGAGCCAATAACACAGGAGAGAAGATAAGTTAAGTAGAAGATTACTAAGCATAAATGCAAAAATAGATGTAAGCAAGGGAAAAGCGAGAAGAAAAAATATGTAGAACATATCGGCTATACTGGAACGCGCCATAAGTAATGGTAGGCGAAAACGTATTTAAGGGTCACATGGGGTGTGGAGAAAGAGGGCTGGATGAAGCTAAAGGTTCAAGAGCAGCCTATCGAAGTCAAGAATAATCCACTAATTTAAGCTCAAAAATTGCCATTTTTAAAGGGTCGGATAATTAAAAATCTTAAAAATTAAAATTCTGTCATAGTTAGAGGTAATAAAGGAGAATTGGGAGGATAGATATACTACATATGACAGTCTATGACATAGTTAGTGATTATCTTTTATATTTTACTTGTTGTATGTTGGTGGTGTGTATAGAATTTAATTGCTTGTTTCGACTCATTTCCAGAAAGGTACATTTGTAAGATAAGTTATTTTGTAGAAACTTTTTTCCGAGTTATTTATTTTATTTTATTTTTAGGTGTTGTGTTATCGTAAACCTTCCCAAAATGAAATTCAAGTGGTTTTTCCTAAATGAGTATGTAAATTTAATATATTAGTTGTGTTTTCCCTATTTCGTTTAAAGTGATGAAGGACTGGTAGTTGAATTTTTCCACAATGATATGAGTAGAGCTTTGCTTTTGCCAAAGGTGTTCTCATCCCGGCTTAAGTGAACTGCAGTTTAGACCTTGCCTAGGTCTTAGCAACACTTCCAGCGGGAGTCGAACCAGGACAGTGCAGCGTGTAAGCTCGACACGTTAACCAGTCATTGCCACGAGTGCCCTTAGGTCACAGGGCAGATGCGAATTTAAAGGAAGATTAGTCATTTTCAATATCATACTCTGTGTTGGGAAAACAATGCTATACTGTTACAAGATTTTGTGTTCATACGGTAGCTCCTATGTGGGAGAGACCTGTAGGCTCATACATAAGAGGCTATCTGAACACAAGACAGCCTGCAAAGGTCTGTGGGTGCAAAAATTTGAATTGGCCGAACACATAACTCACACAGTACACCACTTAGCTGGATATAGGAACCATACCAACCGGTAAGCGAAATATTAAGGAGGCGATAAAAATTAAAAAAAAACAGCCAACACCTTGAGTAGAAAGAATGAGTGTAGGAAGTTAAGTGTAAACTAATTGTGGCTGTTGGATAGGATTAGGGAGAGGGGGAACGAGAAATATCGCCGAGCAAGAGATGAAGGCTAGATTAGGCTCGAATCTGGCTTTGACTCTCACATCACACTCATTTCAAGAGCAATGCATTCACACAACACATGTGCAATGAAACGCAATCACATGCGGTAACATTGCAGGATCAGGGGCATTAGTATTTTAGAGGAGGATGAAGCTGTTCGGTATAGTTGCAACGTTTTTACTCTTCATCTTCAGCCACTTAACTTAACTTTTAGGCAAAAAAACAGGATATCCAACCAAAATAAGATGCCCAAGTGGACCAAATTGGACTATACGAAATAAGTAGGTTTGAAGTCGGCCACCTTTCTTGTATTCGTATTTTGTTGAATTATCGCTCGGTATGGTCTCCTGATCTGACGTCCGTCACATGACGTACGAAAGCTCAGTTAGTATTCATCGGGGTCTCAGGGCGGTGCGTGGAGTACTTATTCGCACAAATCTAGAACCACAGCCTCCGGTTGAACCAACTTATGAATCCCTTCCACTTGACTATTAAAACGAAATGAACGTTACTCAATCATCAATCTATTATGGGGATCTTAGAAATTCAATTGTGCTACATACCTAGTAAGTTTAAATTTTTTGGTATAATGTTTGTAGGGAGGATGCATCATGAAGTACTGATAATGTTTCTTACTCGTTAAATACCTATAAGTGCATCACATTGTGAATTTTTGATATGGAGATTTAGGTAGAAACTTTTGATTGACTTTGATTTAATACCAAATTATGCTTTATTGGAGATATTATGCTTTATTGGAGAACAAGATATTGTGGCCTCTGGTATGGTCGCAGTCTCCTTTCGATTTATAGAAGTGGGTTGACCTCGTTATTGCAACTTGGTCTTGTTGTCAGGGCAACTTAGTAGAACGCACCTAGTCAGAAGTCGTCTGCCACAGTAATTGTCATGACTCCCAGCATCAGACAGTGGAATTGGTACATTCTAAAAACGTTTCGCCGGCATCACAGTCGGCCTCATCAGTGAGTTTTGCCATTCTCCGCACCAAGCCGGCGAAACGTTTTGAGAATGTACCAATTCCACTGTCTGATGCTGGGAATCATGACAATTACTATGGCAGACGACTTCGGACTAAGTGCGTTCTACTAAGTTGCGATTAGGTCAACCCACTTCTATAAATCGAAAGGTGAATGCGACCATACCAGAGGCCACAACATCTTAGTCTTCATATCTTCAAGATAGAATTGCCTCGGGATGAAGTCTGTTGGATTTTGTGAACAAGTTCTCAGCTCGTCATCTTGCGACACCGATGATTTCTTGCTCATCTTTGAGAGCAAGAATCCATATTTTACAAAAGACTTTAAAAATATACCAAACCAAGAGAAAAGGTAGCGAGCTGCACCTCTGGTCATTTTCTTATAAGTATTGAGCTCATTTCCATTTCGAGTGAAAGTGTTGGGTGAAGAGATTCGAAGATCGGTTCCACCAGAAGACGACTGCCGATTCCTCTTGATCAGCTGTCGATTGGCTTTACTGGAACTTTCATGCTGACGCTGTTTCTGAGGTAATCTCCTTCGATTCCGGTAAAAAGGTGCTAAGCTTTCGTCCATCATATGACACACTCGAGTCTATTTTCAGCCTTCTTCTTCTAAAGTAGCAGTTCTTCCTGTTCATCCTCTCTCTCATTAAGCCTATCCAGCAGTCATAAATGATTACTATCAATTTCATACCCTCGTTCCTCCTGTTAAAAGTGTTTACTATTATGTTAATTTCAATATAATCTTTAATCTTACGCCTTGATGTGAAAAACTCCTAACCAGAAAAACTTTGTGGTTCGGACAAGTCTTTCGAGTGGTCTGCATCAACGATGTGTTCAGCAATCTCGGACCTTTGGACCCATAGACCCTTAAAAGCCGTTTAGTGTGCTGGTATTCTCGTCTGTGTGTGTCGGCAGGTCTCCTCCACATAAACATCACTAATTAAGCACAAATATTGTAAGAAGCTGATTTAGAAAGAAGGCATGGAAATTCTTGAAAAGAAGGCACTGCTGAATAAAGTGTTGATTTCTCTCCATACGTTATTCTGATGTGCCTCTTGGAGGCTGGAATGGCCTCGAGTATGGTTAGGACTAATACATCTCTTATGATATGAACATTATATACACAACAGAGACGATATCACATAGCTAGGCATGAGGTAACATTAGAGGATCTTATACTTGTCTATTTGGGCAAGGCAACAGCTGCCACTATAATCACCTTACCTCCCTATAACTAAATAGTCTTCGTCGGAAAATTTGTTCCTTAGTTAAGAGCTATTATTCCCAAGTAAGCCCAAAGAATAATTATCTTCCAGGATTACATCTTTCAATCGTTTCAATTATTTAGTTAAATGGTTGCTATCCGCTAGTCTCATACTCATATTAGGCATTGACTTCAAGATTGTAACCTTAGTTTTGTGACTATCGTTAGAAAGAAAATTAGGAAAAGAGCCAACATATGCTGGCTGCCTATAAGCATCACTTCCTAACTTACTCTCCAAAAAGGGTAAACATCCACCTCTTCTATTTCCTCTGTGAACATAAGGTTAATTTCACGTTGGTTAAGCGAAAGTAGGATATTATCTGAACTTTCCTTACCATGAGGCCAGAGGACGAAATAGTCGTCCATGTATCTAACCGACAATTTAGTGGCTAGTATTGTCTTTTCCAGAAAGTGTTCCTCATGTTTTAGCATTTATTTGTTTGTCAATATGTGAGCTAAACAAGATCCCATCGCAAGTCCTTGTGTTTTTTTTAAAAAACTACTATTTATGGATAGGTTAAGAAGTCTATGTATAAACGCTCTGCCCAACCTTGTGTGATCTCTAGATGTTTCTCAAGAGTTTTTAATAAAGCACAAGTAGCGCTTTGAACAGGAATGTTTGTGCACATAGACACAACGTCAAAACTTACCAGCCTATCTTCCTCTGAAGTTTTGCGAGATTAACTAATTTTATAAACTCATACGATTCTTAACTGAATATAGCAAAAAATCAGTAGTTATACTTAGTTTTATGCATAAAAAACGCGAGATTTTATGCCGTCATCTAAAATAAGGTGACCCAACTTGTCTGCTTAGTGATGCTTTTAACTTCACTCACACTCGTTGAACATGTTAAATTGAGCTCATCAACTAAACCAGACGTACCAGTTAACGCAGCCCCAGTTGTGCCTTTCCTTGGGTGGTTAAAGCTTAATTATCCTAAACTGAGAAGTTAGGAAAGGTGGTTTCATAACTTTACCTACATGCCTACAAGCTTACAACACATTATCTCAACCATACTTGCTTACGGACTTACGCAGTCTCGGTCACTGTTTCTTCTCTGGTCATTAAGCCTTGATGACCAGAGCCTGACAGTAACCTTTTTTGATCACTTTGATCTAGGACCGGTATTGCGTATAGGCATAAACACACACACACACTCGAGCAAAAATAGCATGAACCAA